GTTGTCATCGCGTCATTTGTATTCCTTATGGTTATTTCGAAGTATGATAATCACCAAGGTGCTTACGATCCCCATAGACTACTTTAATACACGCTCGGTTGGGGGAGTCGCATTGACCCACCTCAGATTTTTCCAGAATGGTTTCCGAACAGCGCGGCGTAGCCGCGCCAAATTTTGTTTAGGTGTAGACAGTTGAATAACGGATCGTTAGACATCCAAAATTTAGATTTACCTTGTAATGTCGTTGACCCATGGCGGGTCAAAGTCAGGCCATGGTTTCAGCGAAGGCAATTTCTAGGGGATCGTCCAATCTGATACAATAACGCAGAGTTTGACGAAGCCATGTTTAGTGTTTCTAGTGTGTTTCTAGTGTTTTCTTTTAGTGTTTCTGCAAGTTTAGTGTTTCTAGCCATCTTAGCTCTCGAGATCTCAGGGGGGTCAAATTAAGCCCCGCCCGAGCGAAGGGTATCTAGCCGGCCACCCGGGCGAGTGTTTAAGTATATTTCGATCTGCTGTTACCAAACGCAATTCATATTTATATGTATTCGTTATTTTTACTTGACATTCGTACCTAACTTTGATTCGAGTATTTTGCTGGCTGTTCAAGGCTAGATTTGACTTATTAACTCATGATTCGACTAAAACTTTATTGGAACTGAAGCGGCTCAGCTCATGAAACGATCTTGCATATACGAAAGATTCAACTAATCTGTTGACTCATTAAAATCTCCCAGCTTTTTCGGCAGGCTCTTGATTCAGCACGAGCAGGTACAGCTCTAATGTTGGGCGAGACATGGATTTGTCTTGGACGCTGCTCAATCCTGCAATCAGCAGATTTGCAGTGCATTGCATTCAAGAACATAACAATGAAAGTAACTTTTAACGCCTGTAAATTTCACGTAATATTAATGTTACCGATGTCGTACCTGTATTTCTATTGCATTGACCACCAGAACACATGTGGTGTACCCGCACTCTAGCGCGCATATTATGCGTCCACCTGCACTACATCGGCCTTGATCTACAAGATAACCTGATAGCACCGCCCCGGTGAGGCCAGGGGGGCGGAGGGCAGGGCAACACGAGCAACGCTGACCTCTACCCTGGCTCGGCTGTCGGCGGTCGGAACCGCCCGAAAGCTGGCGGCGGTAACATGGCCTACAGCCCTAACCTACGTCACCAATTGCCCTGCGGTGAGAAGGTGCTGGTGAAGTTGCCCCTGAGCGTGCTGATCAAGCTGCTTCTGATGATGGTGGCACCCAGGTGAAGTTCTGTCGTAGGAAACTCCTGAGTATGAGGGTTAAGACGCGCCATGGAGGCTTGCCAAGGACGTAAGTGCCTCCGCCGGGCGATTCAAGCAGAGCCTGGAGCGTTGACAGTGAAGGAGTTATTTGCATTCATCGTAATTTGTTTAGTTTGCTCGAGAACATCCAGGGGAATTTTAGCTTTGTTCCAGAGACAAAGGTAGTAAGAGTTTTAACCTTCAGCAGGCAGGTGGCGGCGTAATGTCCATTCCAGTGTTTCGAATATATTCCTGATACGCCCACCAGCACGTCATAAGAAATGCAGGCTAGGTTAGTTGCTAACCTTGGTTCCCGACCTGCAAACGTGAAGTTTTATTCAAGCTGCACATTTGTCTTTCCAATCAGGATTTAAACACAGCATGCAGACTATCAAGTTCCGAATAGCAACACCATGAGTGCAAATGTGCAAGCGTTCGAGGCAGCTATGGAAAAAGGTGCGTGAAAAAATCGATGGGGCAAATGGCGTTAAAGGGCCACATGCTTAAACATAGTCCCTTATATCATTCTGAGGCCTGGGCATATGTACATTTTCGTCGAATTCGTCTCGTTTTTACTGGTGTGGCTTGTGATGCGGTGGTCAGGTTTAAGACAGCAAGATGTTCGGTGGCGGAGTGGACATGGGGTTTGGTGGATTATCTGACTACATGCGATCGGGCTTGCCTCTGCTGGTGGCAATTGTGCTTTTAGTCCAAGATATCTCGGGTTTTCATTATTAAGCTCTGCTTGGAAACTGGTCGGCGCCACAGATTTTGAGTTGGGGGAGGGGATTTCCAAGGATCGTCGTGGACCAAATGGGACCTCCTTTCAGAGGGGGGGGGGGGGGTGGGTGTCGTGGGAAGTGTTGTATTCGAGGGGGGCACGGGGAGAATGTGCCCTCAAAAATATATTGCATGTACCACATCCAAACAAATATAATTCTAAAATCACAAAATACAGAATGGGGGCCTCCTGCTCCGGGAAAAATACAGAATGCGGGGGGGGGGCTCCTGTTTCGGGAAAAGGCCTCGTCATGCAAAGCGGAACCTCCTACCCCAGAGAGGCATTACCTAACGCATGAACTGCCTTAGACATAAAGGTGGCATTATGACCCGAGAAAGGGGCCTATTGATGTAGAAAAGGTCCTTCTTGGAAATCCTAACGTTGATAGAAACATGCGTTCTGGGATGTACGCTATGTTGGAAATCCATATTTTATCGTCATGCCCACCCATATTTATGGGCGTCCGTCTGTGTTGATCCAGAGGCGCCTGTACTTGGGGAAAGAAGGAGCTTGATTTCTTAACCTCCGGGTGTCTTTATCTAGGCTTCAACCGTTCGTTGTCTGGGCTAGCGGCATACCTTTGCCTAATAAGGAGTCGCTCTCATGACAGTTTTCAGGTTTGGTTACTCTAATCCTGGATTCTGGACGCCTTCTATCCGGATTTGGACATCTCTCACGTGTTGTTACGCTACACTACGTTATTACGGATTTGTGCTTATAGGTTTTGCGGCGCCTCTCATTTAGGCTTCTGTAGCACTTCTTAAATTTTTGACTAGACGAGAGGTTGGTCAAGTTTTAAAGTGCCTTGGGGGTTCGGGCTCCGGGGTCCCATGGGAACGCATGTCATGCCTGTTGTTTCGGTGAACGTTTGCCCGCGCCTTAATTGACAGACATGCTACTTTCCGGGTGGAACCAGAAATGGCGTGGGGCCCGAAAAGATAAATTTTCAAGTAATTCAAGCTTTAATTTATTTTTCTCTCGCCTTCCGTTTTCCTTATTTAAAAAGGTTGTCCGTTCAGGTGGAATGCTAAAGGTTGGCAGAAGCTGATTATTCTGAAGCAGTTTCCTCCACAGTTCTTGATCGGCCCGTGGCTTATCAGAGGAACATGAAGTCATGAAATGTTAATTTGCTGCTTAAGCTGTTTGCCTTCTAGTCTAGATCTAAAGATCATAAGATGAGCGTTTTTGATATATAGCTGACTGCTCTAGAAATAACAGTAGAATAATAAAAGGTGCTGGTAACCATAGCAACTGCTAGGGCGGTATAGGTGAATTGACGCAAAGGTGACGATTTGGTGCCCAGTCCGAAAGTTTTTACCTACCGCGGCTTTAAAACGGAACCGTGGTAGATCAGTATTCGGCAAATCAGCCGTAGAGTCGAATAACCGGTCAGGGGTAATCGTGTTGGTGAGGTTGAGTGCAGGCGACAAGGGAAAGGTACACGCGCGCAGAGTTTATAGGGGGCACACTCATAAGTTTAGGGCATGACCACTCAAGCTGTGGAAGCATTCCTATCTTCCGAGGCCATTGAGGGCTTCCAGCGTCCGGGCGGGCGCGCACCTGGGCCTAGACTGATCTCGGTAGATGGTGAGGTTTGTTTTTTTGGATAGAATTATTGTAGGGCTATCATCCTCATCTAGTGTTCTGGTACCTCATTTGATCAGGCATCTTGTCTGGAACTCGTAAAACTATATTGCTTTTACAGAATTTAAGTGTTTTTTTCTGGGATTATTTAAGCAGCAAGTGTAGGCATAGCATCTATGATTGAGTAAAGTTAGGCTCATAAATCAAGTTGGCAGGCAGACTTTGATTTGCATGATATCCAAACCTTTCGGGTATGTATAGGTACCGTGTACTGGCGGACTAGTAGTATGTCTATCATTTGGCAAGTATTTTATGTAGTTCAGTTCATTTTGTTTGGTGTAGCATCAGGAAAATTGAAAGTGAAAATAGTAGCAATAAGTGTGCATCTAAACTTGCTGCACATGGATGATGGACATGCTGAACACACTTCTTTTCTCTACTGAAACATCAGCTGTGAATACGTTGTCAGAACTAACCAGCTCTAACTACTGAACTATCTTAGACCCTGTAACAGTCAATGCCAGTCCATGAGCAAGCTAGTGTAGATTATGAATGTTGCCATTTGCCTTTCTGTCACCTTGATGTGAACTTTTGTGTGCAAAATGTGGTGTTTTAATCATAATTAACTCCTGCTAGTGTGCATTGTACCCACTGCATGTGACTTCTGCTGTGATGGTAAATTGTGTATTTTGATTTCCCTGATACAGTTGGTTCATTGATCATAGATTGCATTTCATACAAGCATTAACTGATTTTCTCCCATTTGCAGATGCCAGACACTATTAAAAGGGAGTTTGGTTCATATCAGCCTTAAAAAGGAATTGGCCACCATGTCAAATTTGTAAGTTTAGAAGAAAAAGTGGAAGCAACTCAAGCAAACACCTTTTATATACAGTGCATCATAGCTCTGCTCCATTATGTTTGGTCACTGTTCTGTCATTCAAAGGCAAAAAGGTTTAAGCGCTATGTTAACTAAGGGCTCTTATACCTTTTTGCCTTTGGATGGCAGCATCAGCTGAAATAGACATCTGGTCTGCAACAAACACCCGATCTTTCTTTCCTTGCATGTTTGGTTCATATTCATCATATTTAAAATTCAGTTGTTATAAGTCACACTCTAATACAATATTTTGCAACCTATCTGTAAAATGTTAAACACACAAATGTTATCTCCTTTTCATAATTCATTGTAATGTTAAGTGTAGTGTCTTCAGAAATCTGGAAAATTTTTACCAAACCTTCCTCATGTCATGTTTTTCCTCATGAACCCTGTGGTGTCCCTTGCTAAGATGATACCTAACCACCAATGTTGTCTGCTTTTTGACACATCTTGAAGCACATACAGGCCCAGTGATGGTGCTTTTTGTTGTCAGACTATGCCTGCAACTGTGGAAGGAGGTGCAGCTGCACCTGGATGATGTGATCAGCAAGGAGCTGGCGGCAGCCGGCGCCAAGCCCGAGCACGTGAGCAAGCGACCGACGCGGCTGGGTCACCAGCCAAGCAGCACCAGCACTGCTTGCCATCCCCACAAGTCGGCAAATGGCCCTGGTGCTCCTCACATTGCACGCCATCCGCACTGTTGCACTGGCAGTCCTAGGCCTGATAGTGGCAAGTACCACTGACTGGATATGAGCAATATGTACTACTGGCTTGATATGAGCCATATCTCCTCGCTCACATTTTGAGACAGCATTGCAGGTAGTTCCGAGACTGTTTGAAAGCGTCGGTTTTTCCCTCATAGTATAGCAAGACTAGCTTTATGATGCTGTGTTACCAGCACCTCCTGGTGTGTCAAAGGTTGAGCATTTCTGCTCTCGTCTCCATTCTGAGCTTCACTGACACAGCAATGACTGGTCATATTTACCCTGTACGTCTGCGTCACATTTGTTTCGTCATGGATGCCGCTGCGTCACATATTTTCGTCTAATAACGGTTATTCTGAGGTTTATTTCTGTAACCCGCTCTGCGAGCCTGCGTCATCGGCGTCCGTGCGTGCTTGTCGAGCCCATTCTATGCCCGAGTTCCGCCGCCGTCGCCGTCAGCGCCTGCTGTCCCGTGCTCCGGCAGAACAAGTCTCTGGCGCTAGAGGTGGTGCTGGGTCTGTACCTGCGCCATCTGCTCGTCTTCCGCCGGCTGATGCTCTGCTACGACCAGACGGTGCACCCCCAGAAGCGGCTCGTCATGCGCAAGAGCCTGGACGCCGTGATGGGCCGAATGGCTGAGCTGAAGGTCAGGGCCGCGGCGGCCGTGTGAGGCCTCTGACCGCGGTGAGGGGAGGGGGCGATGCTGATCTAATGCTCATGCAGATGCTGGTGCTGATGCACAGGACGTATATGAGCCTTTTTATTTCGACGGAGTAAGGGGCTGCTGCTCCTGTACTTGAGAAGGAGGAGGCTGGGTGACGTTGAAGTTGACGTTGGGAGTTGCTAGTTACCCACGAAATTTTGTCATCCGAAATATAGTGATATCATTTTGGTGTATTTTGTATTTTTACGTTGATAGGAGCGTGCAGTCAATGCGTTTTGTGTATGATCGAGAAGTGGGAGGTCTCTTGCATTGCTGGGATGCTAGTCCGTCTGTCCTTAAGTCCGTGAGTCCGTCTGTCCGCCCGTCTGTCGTCTGTCCTCGGACATCATAGCGACCGTGCGAAGGACAGGCATATTGCGTCTTGTTTATTTTATTTACCGACGGGCCCAGTTAACCGTGGGTTTCCTCGCGCTCGTGGTCATGGACATGAAGAAGTGTCGCAGGGTGGTGGACAGCACACCTGAGCGAGGTCTAATCCAGGTTCAGAAGCAAATGAAGAATCACGCAAATTTGTGTTGAGTGAGCTTGATTTGAATTCCGGCCTTTGGCGTGATTTAGGGTGACGTTTGGTTTGATTTTGGTTGCAATGCGGAGTCAACATCAGCTCACCCTGCATCAGTGTCCGGTCGTGATTGTCACAACGTTCGGAAAACAAATGTTCAGTGACTGATGGCAGTAAAGAACAGAACGAATAACATACGTCATAAGGTAATGGTAACTGGCCGTTTGACGTATGGCATAACGTAAAGGTGTGTGGCCACAGTATTAAGGGTATAAGCCCGATAAAGCCTGATAGTCATAGCTTTCAGAAATATGTATTTTTCCTACAAATTTACACATCATGGCCGACTGGTTGGTACTTCAGGGAACGTAGATATTTCAATAACACACATGCAAACGGCACGAAAATGCTATGCTTAATTCACCATGGTACATATAAGTTACAGACGTCCATTGAGTGCGACCAGACGCTAAAAATGTTAAAGGTTGTTACATGTTTTGGTATGAGGCTGTTCTATGTTCATTCCAATGGTGTTTGGTGAATGATGCGGTGAGTCGTAAGTTTGATACAGAGCGTGATTCAGCGTCCACTGATTTTGAGTCAGAATCGATTTGATTTGTGTGAAGTTGAATCAACTAAAAATCTCGTAGGTAGATAGGCCAAGGTAGGTAGGCCTTGTAATCTGGTTATTGCACATGCTATTTCTCCTCATGTAGATTATGGTCATACATGTACCCCGCATCTTACATTATAAGATGCTGCAATCTGCAGTTCTTTGTATCACACTGCTATCTGTCATTACCAAACCGGTTAAAGATCATTATATTTTGTTTTTTCAGCAAGAACTGACAAATATCGAGCTTTCCGAGTTTCACTTTTTTGACGACCTCCAAGTGGACTACAAACTGCTTCCTCACGACACGGATCTGCCTATCCCACCGTTCTTTCGACTGGAACGGAAGGACACGCTAGCCGGCATCAATGAAATCATCAGCGATGCCCTCAAGAAGCTGGGAGCCATCAAGTCGGAGGTAAGACAATACCCGCTCTTTGGCACATTACTTGGTTGTGTTGATTTAGGCTCACTGCTGACATGTGAGTCATTCCATACTAGATAAAAATGATCACTTTCACTCCTATTCGGGATGCCTTGTAAAAACAAAGTGTGTTTTTTAGTTTTTATTTTTGCATTGTTCCAGTTTTACATACTCATGGTTCTGCTTTCCATGACATACATTCGTTTCCTTGGCGTCCTTTCAACGCGATGTTGCAGGGTTTTCGCCGGTGGCATAGCATTTTATGGGTAAGACATACATCCCACGTAGGCTTATGTATCAACTTATGGATAAGACGGTATAAATAACATTATTCCTCGTATAATAAACACGGTAATGGAGCGATAGACGTGATATTTAGGCTACGCGCCTTTATCGAAACGAATATTTTCCGTTTCGATAAAAGCATGTAGCCAAAACATCACGTCTATTTCTCCATTTTCCTGTTTATTCTACGAGGAGTAAGCAGCCTGTGTCAAGTTGTGCATTCTGCCCAAGTACTATTAACAGACTAGGCATTGGCAATTACATACCTTACAGCTAGACGACAAAACTTATTTCGTTGCCCAGTACAGATACCTGACCGTGCTCTACGACGCACGCACGCACGCACGCACGATGTGCCAGCTCCATGACTAACGGCCGGCGCGGGATGTAAGGGCTGTGGTGCGCTCACCCACACGGTAATGACTGTGCGGTGTGCGGCCAGAAGGAGAAGGTGGTGACCCAGCTGATGGCCAGAGAAGGTGGTGACCCAGCTGGCCAGTGTGTTGTGCTGGCGTGACCGGCGGGAGAAGGTGGTGACTCAGCTGGCAGCCGTGTGTTGTGCTGGTGTGACCGACAGAAGAAGGAGGTGACCCAGCCGACCAGTGTGTTGTGCTGGTATGATCGACAGAAGAAGGTGGTGACCCAGCCGACCAGTGTGTTGCGCTGGTGTGACCGACAGAAGGAGGTGACTCAGCTGACCAGTGTGTTGTGCTGGCGTGACCGGCAGGAGAAGGTGGTGACCCAGCTGAGTCGGGAGGAGGCCGTGCGGCTGGTGCAGCGTCAGGAGCGTGCTCGCCAGGGCCGACACCGCGCCCGCTTCATGCAGGAGATCCACCGTCAGGAGATGCGTGAGAAAACCAAGGGCAAGGTGCGATACCGACCTGGGAGTGTATCGGGCCCGGTGGTCTGTTCAAGGACACGGGGGAGGGCGGGGGTTGCTGGGGTGGGCTGTAGCGGGGCGTCTGTAAGGATTTTCGCGCACTCCGAGGCCGTGTGTGACCACCTTGTGTGTTTCGTACGTCTTGCAGTACGTGGCGACCATGTCGGACGAGCAGGCGGCACTACGGATTCAAACCGTGTGGAGAGGGTTTGCTTCCAAACGCCATGTGAAGGAGATGAGAGAGGAGGAGATGGTATTCATTGGTATGGTAAGTGGCACGCATGCCGGCAGTGTGTTTCATGACAGTCTGAGATTCTCATTGGTTGTGATGTTTCGCTGAAACAAATGGCTCATGTCTGTGTCCAGACGTGCGTGCATATGTATGCGTTCTTCATTGGTGGCAATACTACATGTGTGTACCTGCGATGCCAGCCAGTTGACTGGGTTAAGTCAATGTCAATTCAGCCTCTCTTGTGTGATTGTTAGTAAGTCCCGTATGCAGCCGGACCAACTGTTTGTACGGCAAATGCATATGTTGAGCCGTGCTCCTTGCGTCTACCAGTGTGAGTCTCTTTCGCATCACTTGCCCAGAGGTCCTGGTGATGCGGGCATGCAGGCGGCTGAACTCTGTCATACGTCGGCACAACTCGCAGCCCATCCACACTGCTTCGACATGTTGGTCACCACTCTCCAGCGCCTGTGACAGCACCCCACGGCAGTGATAGGACTGTGATCGCGTATGACCTCTTTTGGCGTCTGTTCAGAAGATCTCTTTATTATTACACGGTCTCAAATCACTTTTATTTTTATATGTGCCGTTACCTCAGAGCAAATCCACCAATTGAGTTCCAGATTCGGTGGGCTCTCAGACTCCCAAGTCGTACCCAGAACCAAGCGCCGCTCGGGACTGTCTGGTCGACAGGCGCCGCCTCCACGACCGTCGCCGCCGCCACAGCAGCGGCTGGCCGAGGTGGAGTCTGCCCGGCGCGAGGTGCAGGCACGTCACGAGCAGCAGTACCAGGAGGCGCTGGTCACCGTCAAGGAGGAGCTGCGCCGCCTGCAGGCCGTCCAGATGCGAGAGGACATGCAGGACCAGATCCGGGCCTGGATGGTCAAGGAGTGGTGAGAGACGAGAGGCCGGGTTGCCAGGTGATGAGGAACGAGAGGCCGGGGGTTAGGTGATGAGGAACGAGAGACCAGGTGATGACGTGGTGAGGGACGAGAGTCCGGCTGGTCAGTAGGTGGTCAGGGACGAGAGACCGGGTAGTCAGTGGGTGGTGAGGGACGAGAGACTGGGTGGTCAGTATGTGGTGAGGGACGAAAGGTACGGCGGTCGAGGAGTGGTGAGCTGAGGTGCATTTAGCGATTACTTAGAGCACGATTCCAGGTTGGCTGGTGGGTTCCTCACGATCCAGCACGAGTGTTTTAGTGTTCATTGGCGAAGTGTATGGCGTTGCGTTTCTTTACCAGGCATATTTGCTGGATATTCGGGAAGCTCCTTTCATTACACCCTGTTAGTTTTTGTTGGCATTTATTTCAGGGAGGATCATGGTGAATTTCCTGATCTGCCCAAGGAAGAGGAGGGTGGCTCCGCCGCCATATTTGATCCCGATTTTGTGCCGCCTCCGAAACCAGCAAAGGAGGAGAAAAAGGGCAAGGGCAAGAAGGACAAGAAAGATAAAAACAAAAAGAAGGAGGGGAAGAAGAAGAAGAAGAAGGGTGACGAAGATGAGGGTTTCATCATGCAGCCGTCTAAGTTCGTACCCGCCATCATAGAGGCCTGCAATGAGTACAACGGTAAGAAAGCGGACTGTATTTCGTGGATATCAGCTCTGATGGACCACACTTCGGTGCGGTGGATGACAGCCGCCGTGTGTTTTACTGAGAGGCTCGTTGCTGCGCTGCGATGCCGCAGACGTGGCTGCGTGCCGCTTCTGAGGCATTGACGTGTGGATCATGCAATTGACGTATATTATAATCCTCATATAACTTATATCATAAGTAATCAGCCCAACTTTAGGGGGGCTGGCAGGTAAAACGAAAACATGACATGCATTACCCTTAATTTCTACATTTTGGATTGCATATTCACTGATCGTCTCATAAAGCAGACATTAGGGGTCGGAGCACTGCTGCGGGCATTTGTCACGTTGCACTTCCTTGTACCGGCTTGCGCAGGTGGCCGAGTCGTGTGGGCGCGTACTGACCCTTTATCCTCAGAGCACTGGAAGCACAAAGATGAGAAAAACAACTTTGAACAGAATTTCGACAGTGAGATTGTGCGCAAGGACAAGCTTCATGAGCTGGAGACCGAAGTGAGAAAAGACGTGGATGAAGTGATGAGGGATGAGCTGGAACGCTTGAAGGAAGTGAGTTCTATAACATTGCGCCTATGTGGCTGTTTTATCGTGTGCATCGTGGCAGAGGGTGCCAGCTTGAGCACTTACATGTTAATGCTACCATGTACGCATGTGGACAGATTGGGCTACATTGGATTTGGTTTCTTGGCCATTATACTTGCGAATAAAGCCACCGATTTCTTGCTACGTTGAGAACACAGTTGCCATAGTAACCTCCTTTCCCTACCAACATGTCTGTCAAAACGAACGTATGACAATTAACGGTTGTGGAATGTATTTTGTTTGATTCCGTGGCAAATTAACTTCGGACAAAACGCATGTCGAAGGAGCACCACTGTACTGCCGAGCGTATGCTCTGTACTCCTCCCAGTGCCCCTCTCAGTACTCCCTTCTGTACTCCTGTCAGTACTTCTCTCAGTGCTCCTCTCAATACTCCTCTCAGTTCTCCTGTCAGTTCTCCTCTCTGCATTCCTTTCAGTACTCCTCTCAGTACTCCTCTCAGTACTCCTCTCAGTTCTCCTCTCAGTTCTCCTCCCTGTACTCCTCCCAGTTCTCCTCTCAGTTCTCCTCTCTGTACTCCCCTCAGTTCTCTTCTCCATACACGCCTTATTACTCCTTTCTGTACCACTTTCAATACACCTCTCAGTACTCCTCTCAGTTCTCCTCTCAGTGTTCTTCCCAGTGCTCCTCTAAGTACTCCTCTCTGTATTCCGCTCAGTTCTTCTCTCTGTACTCCTAGTGCTCCTTTTAGTACTCTGCTCAGCGCTCTTATCATTACTCCTCCCAGTACTCCTCTCGGTACTCCTATCAGTACTACCCGCAGTAGCGCCTCAGTCCATACTCCATTAAGCTATGATGTATATTGACGTTGCCTTGTCTCACGCTGTTCGTTGTTTTCCCCATCGCCAGGCGTTGGAAAGAGACAGGGGGAAAAAGGGCCGCAAAAAGAAGAAGAAGAAAGGGAAAAAGAAGAGAAAGAAAGGGGGCAAGAAGGGAAAGAAGAAGAAAGGGAAGGATTTGACACCGGACAGAAGCCTTGAGTCATTAGTCGAGGAATTGGTGGAAAACAATGTGATGAAGCTGATTCCGGAAAAGAGGATGGCTGACTTCATGGGTAAGCTTAAAGAGATCAGCCGTGGGCGTCATGAGTTCAGAGGGGCTTGATAAGCAGACGGCGTCGCCTAAGTTAAGTATTCTGGTTTGCGGTCCACCTCTCCACCATCTCAAGTGTCTAGTAGTTTCACTTGGGGCGTCAGTCAGGCGGCCTTGACACATCTTAATATGTCTCTGAGATAACAGGCGTCTGTGCACTTGTGTTGTTAACGAATTAAATACAAATCCTGTGATGCTGCCCATAGAGTCTTGGCAACCCAAGTGCGCTTTGGCAACTCGAGTACGCTTAAAACGCCTGGGGTGCGCCTATCGATGCCTCACTGGTTTTTTATGGCAACGACTCGTGCATTCTCGCAAAAATGATTCATAGCCTTCAATGGTAGTCTGTCGTTGTAAAGATGACACTAAGGGTCTTCATCACCAAGTTTGCACGCGGAGTTGGTGCCCTGATGACGGGCGCGGGTGTTTGCGAATGGAGGGCAGCCGTGGACTCATTGGCCTCAGTTGTGCGCTGTTGGGTTACGTCTGTCAGTGATGTGTCTGTGTTGTGGATGTGTCAGTGTCACAGTCTACGGCTGTGGACGTGTCAGTACTGGGCTATGCGCTATGCCTCCGTTGTCCGTGTGCGGCTGGTGGTGAACTGTGTCCGTGCCGTCGGCTGCTGGTGGCTGTTGGGCCCGATGTTCGATGGTACTGTTCGACTGTTGAGCTCTGTGTGCGGTGCTTGTGTGTGACTGTTGGTCTCTGCGTCCGTTGATAGCGTGCATGTGCCGGACTCTGCGTCCGTTGTCAGTGTGCGGCTGCTGGACTCCGTGTCCGTTGTCAGTGTGCGGCTGCTGGACTCCGTGTCCGTTGTCAGTGTGCGGCTGCCGGACTCCGTGCTCGTTGTCAGTGTGCGGCTGCCGGACTCCGTGCTCGTTGTCAGTGTGCGGCTGCCGGACTCCGTGTCCGTCGTCAGTGTGCAGCTGCCAGACTGTGTGCATTGTGCGCGCGCGGCCGCTGATTGGGCGCTGACGGCGACTGCGCGGCGCCGCTGCAGGGTACCCTGCACTGACCGGCTCGCTGCAGCGACTCAAACACGAGGAGGCACGTCCGCAGCTGGGCGACGTCCGGCGGGTGCTCACAGAGTACTGCGTGATGCCCATGGGTGAGACGCTCCGCTGGCGCTGCAGTGTCACGCTGACCGTACGCCTCACGCTGACCGGGTGTGCTGTGACCGCGGGGAAGCGGTTTGCAGATTTACCGAAGGCGTGAGACGAGGTGTGGGTATCAAGGATGGAATCATTCGCCGGGCTGTTGTCCTCGTCTGGTGCGTGGGCATGAACGTACCAGCGTCCATGCATTCGCCGGGCTGCTGTCCTCGTCTGGTGTGTGGGCATGAACGTACCAGCGTCCATGCATTCGCCGGGCTGTTGTCCTCGTTTGGTGTATGGGCATGAACGTACCAGCGTCCATGCATTCGCCGGGCTGCTGTCCTCGTCTGGTGTGTGGGCATGAACGTACCAGCGTCCATGCATTCGCCGGGCTGCTGCCCTCGTCTGGTGTGTGGGCATGAACGTACCAGCGTCCATGCATTCACCGGGCTGTTGTCCTCGTCTGGTGTGTTAGCATGAACGTACCAGCGTCCATGCATTCGCCGGGCTGTTGTCCTCGTCTGGTGTGTGGGCATGAACGTACCAGCGTCCATGCATTCGCCGGGCTGCTGTCCTCGTCTGGTGTGTGGGCATGAACGTACCAGCGTCCATGCATTCGCCGGGCTGCTGTCCTCGTCTGGTGTGTGGGCATGAACGTACCAGCGTCCATGCATTCGCCGGGCTGCTGTCCTCGTCTGGTGTGTGGGCATGAACGTACCAGCGTCCATGCATTCGCCGGGCTGCTGTCCTCGTCTGGTGTGTGGGCATGAACGTACCAGCGTCCATGCATTCGCCGGGCTGCTGTCCTCGTCTGGTGTGTGGGCATGAACGTACCAGCGTCCATGCATTCGCCGGGCTGCTGTCCTCGTCTGGTGTGTGGGCATGAACGTACCAGCGTCCATGCATTCGCCGGGCTGCTGTCCTCGTCTGGTGTGTGAGCATGAACGTACCAGCGTTCATGCATTCGCCGGGCTGTTGTCCTCGTCTGGTGTGTTGGCATGAACGTACCAGCGTCAATGCTAGCACACGAGGCGTTGACGACAGTGTGAGCAATTATTACATCCGAGTAACGGGTTTTTACCATTCATTGCTGTGTAGCGCCTTGCTGCCCCTCCCCCCTCGCCGACGTCGGAATGCTTGTTTCCTGACTTTACCATGTGACCATGGACTCCCCGCCCTTGACCGCCCGGCCCCCGGCCGTCCCCTGGTGCGTTGTCAGGCGGCCCGTTCCTGGCCGTTTCCCTGACCCGTGTCCCGCCGCCCCGCCCCTGACTCGGCCCGTTTCCCTGACCCGTGTACCCACCCCGCCCCTCACCCGTCGTCAGGCTGTCCGGCGGTGCACGAGACGGCGCCGCTGGTCAAGTCCGTGCTGATCGCCGGGCCGCCGGGCTCCGGCAAGAAGCACCTGGTACACGCCATCTGCGCCGAGTCGGGCGCCGTGCTGTTCGACTTGACGGCAGCCAGCATCGCCGGGCGGTACCCGGGCAAGGCCGGGCTCACCATGCTCATGCACCTCGTCAACAAGGTCCGTGCAGAGACTGCACCCCTGGAGCGCGGCATGAGGCATTCTTCAGTTGCTGTTAGTTGTAACTGGCCTGGGTTGTGGTTTACGTGCTTCGCGAACTATTCGTTCTGGACCGTTTGTAACGGAAGGTTACTTTATATGAAGTGTGCTTGTATGTGTCGGCTATCTTTTTATGATGCGTGCTGCAAGTCAAGAGCGTATTAGGCGGCCACTGTGCGGTGTTCGGCGGAGGGGGCCGGCAGCGGAGCCGTCGGCAGGGGCCGCGCCGTGAGCGGTGGCGCCACCGTCGCCAGGTGGGCCGCCTCCTGCAGCCGGCGGTCATCTGGATCGACCGAGCCGAGCGCACCTTCGTCAAGAAAGTGCCCAAGACGGACAAGACGGAGCCCAAGCGGCTCAAGAAGGAGCTGCCCAAGTTCCTGAAGGCGCTGACGCCGCTGGACCGTCTGGTGCTGGTCGGCACCAGCGAATCTCCTTGGGACGCCGACCAGAAGGTGATCAGCGCCCCCATACCGCAGCAGTCCAGCTTGTCTTACCCGCCTACTTAATGAGTATGCATTATTTAACTTGTCTTGCTCATCCCACCTTGTAACAAATGCTATGCTTCTCTGGCTGTAAGGCATTGCAAACAAGATTTTGTGTTTCTGCCTGTATACCTCATGTAATATAGATGTATGTCCCTGTGAATTGTACACCCCTGCGACCAGAGCAGCCGGCGTGTGTGGGCCTGCTGCTGACTGTGAGGCGTGACGGAACAGGCACTGGGCCAGGCGTATCATCGCGTGGTGCTGCTGCCTGCGCTAGACTACGCCAGCCGGCTTCAGCTGCTGACCCGGACGGTAGCGGTGCCGGGTGTGCCGCGCCACCCCAGCCTCGACCTGAGCACGCTCACCAAGCTGACGGACGGCTTCACGGCCGGACACTGCCTGGACATGGTTCAGCAGGTGAGCACATGGCACGGCAGGTGAGGACACGGCGCAGCAGGTGAGGACATGGCACATCAGCTGAGGACGCGGCACACCAGCTGAGGATACGGCGCAGCAAAAGAGGATATGATCTGGAGGTATTGTATCAAATGAGGACTCGGTGCATGATTCAGCAGGTGAGAACATGGTGGACATCGTCCAACTGCTGAAGATCTACGTCTGCGACGCACATCACCAGCAGCTGCAGTTGTTGAACTAATACCTGATTGCTGTTTAAATGCCATTGATCTCGGAATGCTCCCACACTCGCACTTCTGTGAATCGGCCAACTGCCTGAGCTTTGAATAGCGATGGCCATCGAGCTGTGGCCGCATTACAAACTGACGCACGCCTGTGATTACATCGATTGGGGGCGTTTCCCGATCGCAAATGCCAAAGCTGGACTGCTCGCCGATACTTGGACGTCGGTGGCGTGGGTGGACGCGCTTGAGAAGGTCGATTGGGTGTCCGTTCGCCGTGTTCATTGGCGTCGTGCTGAGCCCCCCCCCCCCCCCCCGCCCTTACTGAGCCACTGTACAGTGAGTGTGGCCTAACACGATCTAGGCCCTGCAAAGTGAAACAAAAGTGACTAAGTAAAAATCCAGATCCGATCGAATCTCAACGGCAGCTGCTTTTGAAGAACATAGAATCGTACTGTTTCCCTACGGCTCTCCAGAACATTCGATGTAAACGGCATGGTTGTTAACACGTTTAGGTACGGCCATGCAGCTCCACCACCGGGTTTACGGTCTGAAGCCTGGCCGTAACGGACTGTATCGTACTGTTTGCACATTCGCACTGATTGAATCGCACCTCGGGCGTTTGCACGGTTGGTGGCCATCGCTTTCAGCGGTTGCGAAGATTCCCAGCAGTGCGCTGCGGGAGGGTTTTGTAGCTGTTGCTCACGTTCAAACCATGCTCTGGATACTTTAATGATGTACCGGTCTCAGCAATCACTCGCGTGGCACAGCACGCCCTGATGCGTGTGCTGATGGAAACTTGTGGGAGCCAACAGGTGGCTAAAATTACCCGACATCGCGTGATACCGCATCGCAAGCTTCACCACCACGTGTGGGGAGGGCGGACACATATCCAGGCGAAATTGCAGCGGCATACGCCAGTTTGTTAATCGATGTCACGTTACGATCTGCCGCCCAACGCCTGATGCTACCGGCGACATCGAGCGTTATATATGTATATATATATATATATATATATATATATATATATATATATATATATATATATATATATATATATATATCAGTATACGACTCACACAATGTAAACTCATATTAAAACTCACAATAGAGGCCGCACGGTTGGCTCCGTGCACCCGTGTAGCGGACCAGGGCTTGACGCCCTCGCCAGGCGGCGGTGGCGGCAGCGGCGGACGGCGGCGGCGGCCAGCGTGAGGTCGGCCGGCCGTCGCCGGATGGCGGGTCCGGTCGGACGGGCGCGGCTCGGCCGTGGCCGCCCACACCTTCCGGCGGTGATCCCCGGCGTGGCGCGGCGCCGCCTTGTCACCCGCTGTCGATTACCCGCTGACGCTGGCTGTCGCGCTTCGCCGACGCTTGTGGTATCGGAGCTTTGCAAGGCAGCTGTATGCGATAAACTGCAAAAGAATGCCAGCCCCAATGTCCGCTTAGAGCGGCAGGCGTAAGCGTGTTGCTGGAACAGGAGGCCTTTGGAGCCCATTGGCTTTTCGATCGGGTGAATCGCGCCCTCTCATGAGCGTTGCCTCCCATAAAGTGCCGGTGGCCAAATTATTAAGTGCCGATATATTTTTATAACAGCTCCCGTTACTGCGGTCTGGCATTTGCCGGGGCGGGTTTTCGTCGGAAATGGAACGGCGTCAAACTGACATGCGTTGCTCCAGGCGACTGAAACTCAGCGACATTGCCGGGTGCCGCCGAGACTCTCGGTTTTATGGTTGAGGCTCACTGTCCGTCCGTTAACCACTCTTGTCCCGAGAGACGGACGATGCGGCGGCCACCGACGGAGTCTGGCGGCCTCAGGCGGCCGGCCTGATGCAAGATGAACGCTGACGCGGCGCCGGCCTCGCCCCGCTCCATTTCGGCTACGTGCGCGTCGTGAGGAATGCCAGGCTCGATGGGGAGCGGCGGTTTATGGAGCTTCCAGGGTTTGTGAGCCTTCGCACTGCGAAATGGAGCCGTCTGTCTCAGCAGCAGCGGCGCACTGCAAGCAGATTAGATGAAGCTAGACGGAGTATTGCCACCGTGCCATTGGAGGGCACGGAGCATGCCTCGCGCCCGGCTGGCCGAGTGTGCCCCATGAGAAGCAGCGCGGCGTTTAGTCAGCCACCATCTGGGGAGGCATGTCCGTGGATGACCGCTCCGTCGCTCCCGGTGCGCTGCGCGGACCGGGCGGAGCAGCACAGGAAGGTCTGCGGCACCGTTGGAACAGAGCTGTGCCTCGGATGCGTGGGAGGAAGTTTCGAGGCGCCCGGTCGGAATGGCCCGTGGGGCTGATGAGACGACGCTGCGTCAGACGTCGCCTCTTGGACAGATGCCGTGCTTTCGTCGGACGTGCTCGGACAAAGCACGCCTGAGAGCTGTTTTATGACGACCTGTATGTAACCCGACCGCCGTCATGTCGTGCTTTTGTGGTGAAAATGGGAATGCTCGTCGGCGTTGACGAGGAGCATCCCAGCAGCGCGCTTGAAATTTGTCGATAACAGCTGACCACGACCATTGCGCTTAGTGAGCCGCAGTTTCATCGATATAAGTCTGGTATATTCTGTGTACTCCTGAGTGAATCCGAATATGCTATATTCCTATTGTCTTTCAAACGGTCGGTTGAGCCACCGTTATTAAGCAGCTGAATGTTTCACGCTGGTGCAAAGACCCGGCTCTGACCCGTTGCGGGAGTATGCCCCACACGTGCGCTGGCCTTTGGACGGAGACGCTGGGTCGGTCTGGGGAAGGGCGGCGGCCGTGCCGGGGTCATCAGCGGCGGACGTGCCCCGGCCGCCGACGGCACCCGCCGGGCCACCGGTGACGTATTGACCGAGGCCGGGCACCGGCTCGGCTGCCTCCCACCTGTCCCGGCGCGTCGATACCGACGTCGGCGGTGACGCCGCCCGGCCGCCGCACGTGGCACCGGATGTCCGGCGCTGACGCCGACGCGTCACCTGTTGCTGCCGCCGCCATCGCGCGGGAGATCAGCGCCGTATCGCAGTCCTTATGACGTCTCACTGCTCCTCATGACGTCATTGGGGCCGACTGTGGCATCAGATGCGCGTGGGCGCATGTGCGATAAGCGACGCGACGCCCGCCGATAAGCGAATGACTCTATTCTCCTGCCGCAAGACGCCCTCAGCATCCCTTTGGTCCATTCGGATGGAGTGATCGGGCGTTATGGTCTCCCGAACGTGATGTTACATGCAATATAATGCAAGTTTTTCGTGCGTGTATGGGTGCATGCCTGGGAAACGCTCTGTCAACGCTCCGTGCTGGATGCAAGCAGAGCAGCGAAGAAAGCAAGGCTGTATATATATATATATATATATATATATATATATATGTGTGTGTGTGTGTGTGTATATATATATATAGACATACAGATATATACGTGTAATATATCGATCTGCTTTACGTCGCGTATTCGATGTGGTTTATTTCAGAGACAACGCCTGCATTTTTTGTTAAAGCGCTCCTTTTTGTCCTAAGATGTCAGACTTCCAGCTACGTATGAGAGCAACCGGTTTAGAATATGTATTACTCATTGACTGAAAAAATGTTCATTGCATGCCGTTCTACACTTCTGCTTTCTTAACTCAAACTCATGCTCGTGATTTTGTAAGCTCCAAATGGATAACAATAACATCTCGCTCGCTTGCAGCTTGTCAATAACCAGAAAAACTCATCCGCTGTATGTATAGGGCCTATGGCAGGGATTATAAGGCCAAACCAGTCAATCTATCCGCGTTCCCCACTCCCTTGATTCCTCTTACCATTCTAGTCCCCTACACTACACTCTTTCCAATGTTCCACTATCCATTTGATATTGTGGTGCCCGTGTCTGTATGGAGCATGCCAAATGGCGTTTTCATCGTATACGTAGTACATATTTTTAATCCCCCAGCCTTGAACGTTTCAAACATGACTTGCTATGACTTCCAAATTTTCCCCTTTGTGATATCTCGCAGTGTTTTTGCGTTGAAGGTGAAGGCAGCTCAATTATTATTTTAACGCCCTGATAACAGTCCACGAAAGATCGATCCGCAGAACACAAACCCGGGTTACAGCCCTTGCACTGTTCGGCAGGTTGAAGTGTCCCAGCATGGTGCACCTTTGGCGATACCTTGCCATGTGACATACACCATTTCCTGATCTGGGTGTTGTCCCTGGGATTGTGGTCTCTGAATTATTCCCAGCTGTATTAAAGGTTTGGTTTCGTTGACTTGGTCCGATGGCATTCATGTCGATGTATCGAAATAATTAGTGATGTCATCTATTTTGACGCACACCATGTGCACGTTTTCGACACACAAAAAAAACACCGCTGTGCAGTGGTCTCCTCGGCCCATATTACCGTGCGCCACCTGAAATAAAACAGCCGCTTACTTTGTTCGTCTCTTGTGCCAAAAAATTGGAGAAACGTCTTGTGCGCTCTGTTCGCAGCCATCGCAGCGGTAATTGCGAAATCATGTGCGACGGCAGCGGCATTATTCCCCTTGATCTTAGCAAGCCTAGTGATTCACTTCTACATCGACACAATTGTACATGTTGTGCATTTGCATGTTGGCGTGATCGCCGGCTAGGATAACGGCATACTATGCATTTAATACGCAATATGTCGTGCCTATTGTTCGTTGTCCGCGCTTGCCTGTTAACCAACCTGAACACGCGCTCGGATGGGGGGTCGAATTGACCCCTCCGAAGGTTTTTCCAGAATGGTTTCCGAACAGCGCGGCGCAGCCGCGCCAAGTTTGACGTAGCTGTAGACAATCGAGTAGCGGATCATTTGGCAAAAAAGATTTAGATGTACCTGGTAGGGTCGCTGACCTATGGCAGGTCAAAGTCAGGCCATGGTTTCAGTGAAGTCAATTTCTAGGGAATCATTCAATCTGATGCGACAACGGAGTGTTAGACGAAGCCATACATCTCTTAGATGCTTTCTTAGGCAACACCAATATTGAGTGAGCAAATTGCGTTGGCCTAAGGTCAGGTACAAAGGTCAGACCAAGATCAAAACCAGCCGGTTTTTTTTACTCCGGTGTTTGCAGTATGGGATGGCCTCTGGCGCACTTTTCGAATTTATTGACTGCAGGAACTGCGTCATATATTGTCCATGGACTTCTTAGAGGTCAGAATGGGTTATTGTCCTAAAATAACCCAGGTCAAGATTTTGTTTTTAGAAACATAGTGCCTAGCGTTATGCTTGTCGCTTACTCAAATACACAACTCAGAGCAATTTTATATGATTTTGGTCACCATCACCTTTAAAATGTCAAACAAGGTCACTGACCTTAACTGGCATGTGGACTTTTGCTTAAAAATAGTGATCTAAGTTCTGGGGGCGCTTTGGAGCCCAACTTAGAAGTTGACCTTATTTGACACGGAGGTCATGACCTATGAACCTCAAACTTTGACCTACATGGGTTCACGTACAGGTCAACACACCTTGTAAATTTAGTGTCTCTAGCTTTGTTAGTTCCGGAGATCTTGGGGGGTCAAATTGGCCCCCCATCCGAGCGAAGGGTATCTAGCCGGCCACCCGGGGGCGTGTTAGAGACGCGTGATCACATCGAGTTGCTGGGGCTCGGTTTTCCGCACAGCCAGGCGGAGGCCGAGCCACTCGACATAGATTAGTCGTCGAGGGGCCGGCCAGTATGTCTCACCTTTTCCGTCGTCCAATTTGTCGCAGCATTAAATCCCCCAGTCGTATTGGCTGGGTGGGATCGATGCTAGCCGTGGCGGTGCGCGGCGCCTGGCTCGCGCGCGCCGGACCAGACGCGGCTCTATCGGCCCGGATGTTGAATGAGTGATTCCGACGTTTGCCTGGCCGGCCATCAGACCGCATTCAGTCGGATTTGCGAGCTTGTGCGTGCCGGGTTGTCAGGCCGTCTTCGCTGTGCATAGCATAGCGAAGACGTCTGGCACAGCGGAGACGAATGGGCGATCATTTGTGCTTTTCGTCGCAGCGACTGCGCGGTTGCATAATCCTGCTTGAGACGCAGTACTGTTGAGAGTATCGTCATCGACCAGCTGAACCGCCGCGCTGAGTGACTGAACGAGTTCCTAGGGATTCCGGCTAAACCCCCAACGACGTCGCTGCAGCTGTTCCGTGCTCTTTCGCGCTAAACAGTGTGATTTACACCTTGTGATGGTCGCCTTGGGGCCCGTGTGACCTTTCCAGCGGTGCCACAGCCCAGTCTCATGGCGTGCTGTGCCGCTTGGCCGACTGCGCCGCTGGCTGGGGCCTGGCCGCGGTCGGCACGGTCGCCAGCGCTTGACGCGACGCGCGACCCGGCACGGTACGCCTCATCACGGTGCCAGCTCAGAGCGGCCGCCGCCGCCAGCTCAACCCGCCGGCGCACGATCTTAGCTGGCCGGACTGGGTGCTGAGGTGCTCAGCGAGGGCGGCAATACCGGGCTGACGGTGGCTGGACGAGACCGGGTGTGGGACATCTCGGCCTCGTGGCGTCGGCAGCCGGTGCTCAGCCCACGTCAGCTGATTTCAGCATCGGCCCCGGTGGACTTTGGTCGGGCAGTGGCAGTGATGCAGCCCATGTTGGACACGCACCGAGGGCACTGAATCATTGTCGGCGCTACTGGTGCGTGCTTTGGCTGATGTGCGCCGGTATTCTTCCAGCGAAAGACGTGTTTGTCCGCAGTTCAGACTCACTACGATGAAAAACGCCATTCGGTACCCGTGGGCCACCACCCGCACGCCGATACCAGGTTCGGACAGCTTGTTGCGCGCCTCCAATGACGCCGTTTGGCGTGCGGCGCGTGGACGGTGCGAGCCGGCCGCGTTCGGCGCGTCGCGGCATTCGGCACGGCGCTCGGCGCGCGCACGGTGCTCGCCGTGCGGAAGACGAGCCGCAGGGCCGCACCGGTGCTGACACGCGGTTGAGAATCGACCGGACGACCGCAGAGGCGCGCCCCACGCGCGGTGCCCGTCCGGGCGGCAGACGTGGGCCGCGGCGGCGTTCGTGGCACGCCTCATCAGGCACGCTCGTGTCAGCAATGGGTGGCAAGTGTAGGCGTTTCCGCCGCGTGAATGCGCCTCCGGCACGCCACCGAGCGCTTACATTGATTGGGGGGCGGCGCCCTCCGGCAGGTGGTCACCGAGAAGCGTATTGTGAAGCTGAGGAAGCGGCCGCTCAAGACGGCCGAGTTCATCCCCGTGCTCTCCACCCTGCAGCCCGTCATGAGGTGCGCCACGACGAGCTGCTAGCATCGGCCGACGACGTGCGCGCAGTTCACGCGGCGCCGCTGGCAAATCGGCACCGGCATGTACCCAGCACATGAAACGAGTTTGCGGGGCCAGTGGTGCATAGGTTTAAATTCGTGCTTCTGCCGCGTACCACCGTGGGAGCCAGCTGCTGCATCGTGCCGTGTCCCCCCACCCCCCCCCCCCCCCCCCCTCCCGCCCTCCGCGGCTCGTCGCCCTGCAGCTGCACGTGTTCGCCTAGCGCTCGGTCCGTCCGGTCACTGGGGCGCGCCAGCCTTGGTCGCGCGGTCTGTCGGCGCTGTTACTAACCCTCATCTCCCTGGGGTTTGCCGGCCACAAACTATTCGGCGGTCGTCGCGGGACCTGTCGGCTCAGTGACTGTCGCGCTGTTGAACGTCGGCTGTCGGCCCGCAGGGAGCAGCAGCAGATGTACTACACGTGGCTGACCAAGACGCCGCTGGGCAAGAAGCGGGCCAGAATGTTGGAGGCCGAGGCCGAGGAGGCCACCAAGAAGAAGGCGGCCGTGCGGAGGTGATGTCGGTGACGCTGAGCGGCCATGGCCCAGTCGGGCCCGGCGCTGGAGCGGTGGCAGCGGTGGGCGGCGCCCTGGGTCAAGACAGAGCGTCTTTTATATATAATATTGTCAAGTTTCTAGTCAAATTGTGATTTTGTGCCGGCACTTTCTCGTCAGTTGTCAAACGTCTCCTCAAGCGGCAGACCCATGCTGTAGCCATCGTAGCATCACGCAGCATTCTCAAAGCACTCGGGAGTTGATGACCACTCAAGACAGGTGGCTAAATGTCCGTAGAGAGTAGACACTAGCACTAAAAGCGCCTGAAAAGCATGCATCGGCGCAGCATACTTCGGTAGCGAATAGGCCAGAAGTTTGCGAAGCTGTCGTTGACGAAAGCATTCGTCCGTAGTATCCGCCGCCCCTTTCTTTCCGTTTGTAGGTGCGTTGTCTGATAAGTACTTACTTACATAGATAGGTAGAGACATACACATATTTCCATAGATAAAGATAAGTGTCCTGCCCGCAGGAGTTTTGCGAATGCAACCGCCGTCCAATAAAAGTGTTGACCGAGCGAGACCGCGGCGGCTTTGTCGACATAAGTGACGTTATCAATCATTGCGAACCCGCCAGTGAAACGCCGCGTCGCGACAGCGCATTCGTATTCAGAAGACGGTTCAGCGGGCTGGCCAAGCATTGCGCTGGCCGCCTTGGCATCAGCTAAATCGCCTCTAGATCGACCCGGCACACGCGACCGTAAACAACTAGTTGTGTTGCCTCATTAGTACGCCGGTGGCGGGTGCTCAACGCTTCCAGAACTTCTGATAGCGGCTCGCGTCGAAGCTGTCGTCCACGTCCTCCTCCATGGTGACCTTCTGTCGCGGCTTGCGCCGCTGCAGTCGCAACAGTCTCTGCTGCTCCGACAGCGTGCTGACGTCCAGCGGCAGCTGGGGACGTCCGAGGGTCAGGGGTCAGGGTGGCGCCATGGGGTCAGGTCAGTGGCTGAGTTCACCGAAAACGACGGATCGACCATCGCTCGACTGGAGTTCAGGAGTTAGCTGGCAGGCGGCGCCGCTCGGCTGACAACAATCAGCTGGCGAGTTCAGCACGGACCAGTCATTCTCGGGCTAGCAAAGTGCAGGCTCAGACGGGACATCGCGCGACCAGTACGGTGACATCCGGCCGGACGAAGCTCATCGATTTCCGTTCCATGTGCGTGCTGGCGCCACGCCCACTTGACCCTTCCTATGACGGGAGGGGGCTCCGCGCTAGCTTGGGGGCTCCGCGCTAGCTTGGAGGCTCCGCGCTAGCCTGGGGACTCCGCGACAGGTGATGGGTATCCCCAACCCCGCGACTGAATGGAGTTTGAGTAAAAGGCAGGCGTCGCAAAATGTATCCTGCAACTGTAAATAAACAACATTTCCATCGGCCCTTTTCGCATCCGAGGTCAAGGTTAGCCTCCTTCACCAGTAGTGTTTTGCGGCATGTATGTAACTCCACAAACTGATTCTAATGCTGGCCTTTGTACATGTTTGGGCGATCTGTTGCAGAGAGAACTATGAAACCAACTTTTTGAAATTTATGGTGACTGATGCAATTGCCGTGGTGGCTGAAATGCAATTACCGTGGACTGCAGTCGTAACTTAAAGCGTCACGAAGTAATGCAAGCTCATGAGGCTTATGCAACCAGCTTTGCGGCTGTTCCAAAAATGTCATGTGAAGGAGGGGAAAGCAGCCCGGCGACACGTGCCGGCGGCGTGTCTACACCGCACACTCAGTACGCATCACAGAGCCCACGCAGCGAACGCCCCCTGGAACCGCGGCCCAGCTCCGACCCCAGGGCCTGCCCCGCCTCAGCTCGGCTGCGGGCTGCACCCGGACCCCGCTGCCGCGGCGCCGGACGGTCCGGCCGGGCCGCGTCGGCGGTCGATGGTCACGCGTGATGGCACGCGGCGGCCACACCACACTGCGCTCATCCGATTACCGGCTGCCTGATGCCGGGAAATGAAGCATGAAGACGCTAGAAGACAGCAAGGACAACCGCGTGGCGGAACGGGAATCGGCGACAGCGTGAACGTCACAACGGTCGGCTCCTCTATGGCGGCCAAGACCCAGAAACCCGCCCTTAACTTCGAAAGGTGAAACAATAGCCCCAACGCTGCCGTAGAGGCCGGAGAGCCAGAAACTTCGGAGCCCGCCCCCTCCCCCACCCCCACCCGTCGGCTGCAACAATGCTGAAAATTCAGCCCAGCTAACTAAATAATGCGTTCCGGAACTGCGGTCCCGCAAGCTCGGTAAGTTGGATGCAGTAGTTCACCTACCCTGATGATCTTCCTGGGCTCGTGGTAACGCGTCGTGACTGTGGAGCCGTCGGCCAGCACCACGGTGGTCGGGTACAGCTGCGGATGGCGCAGCCGGTGGACGCGGCTCACCACCGCCCGGTTACAGTTGAGGTGGCGACACGGCGCCGGCGGCAGCGCGCTGGCGGCCAGCCGCAGCAGCGGCGCGACGGCGCGGCTCATCTGGCGATCGACGGCACCGTCAGCCGGCTCCGAACACGACCCGCGTGCCGTCGCGGCACCGCGGCCGTGGCTGGACGACGGTCATAGAAACGCGCTGGATTACTCGAGTTACACAAAGTCTGCCATTGAAGCCAGAGGGCGCCGGTTCAGTTTCCACACCTGACAACTTCGCCTTCATTCAGTCGCATGCAACATAGTACTGTGATCCGTCCTGGTTACTAGGGATGTTCTATTGCATACGTACATGTGTATTCGAGGCAACCACGTGATGGGAGGCGTTGTCAAACAACGGAGGGTGATACCTGAATGCTTTCAACAACGCACGGACGCCCACAATCATCCGCTTAACGCTGAGCCCCCGCTGACTTGCAATAATTTCCAGGGGCGAAATTACAAGCAGTAAGCAGCAAGCACGGTACCCTTCACAGCACTGAACTCAAAAGCCCAGTTCACACACACAGGCGCATACACACGCACGCACGCGGCTCATCATATATATATATATATATATATATATATATATATATATATATATATATATATATATATATATATATGAATTCGATGTTGTCATAGGCAGAAAGCTGCTTGCACTTTTGAACGGCTGCGCCACCACGCTGGTTGATGACAGTGTTTGAGAACTTGTAGCACGAACGGAAATAATTGTGTCAAATAAGCTAGCCCAGGAGTATGTGACCTGACCTCAGGTCACAATTTCTATGCATTAACTTCTAGGATTGCCTAGCTGGTGCCGCTGAAGCTGATAATATTTTCACAGTCCACGTGAGGCTCACTGTCCATGGTTTAGTTCGAATACAAACTGGTGAAATGTTGGGTGTTCTCATCCGGTCGTGTCCATACCAACTGAGAATTTCCGTCTTTGGGTGGCAGGGAACTCGTCCACATGGTACCAGGCCTTCTGGGGCTGCCGCCCCGCTCCAGTGAGGGGGCCGTTGCCTGGCACGCGGCCGCGCCTGGATTGGGCGGCGCGTGCGGGCGTGCCCAGAAGGCGGGCCTGTCCTGAGGCGTCCGAGAAGGGGTACCTGTCCAGCGGCGCGGAGGGCGGCGGAGGACGAATGCCGACACGACGCGACACTCAGGACTGAGCGTGACCGTGTATACGACGGTGTTGGTGTGTCCAGCGAATGGAAGCCTTAAGGCACTCTCCGGCGCGGCGGTCGGAGGCCGGTGGACGTGACCCGTGCAGGCGGAGCGGGGAGTCGAGTCCCCAGCAGCGGAGGAGCAGGATCCTCGTCCGGACCCGTCGTGCTGTCATGTTCATTCAAACGCCATGCCACACGTGCACGATCAGGATTCCGATTGCCAGGGCTTACTCGCCGCCGTCGTCCAGCGTGTCTAGGGAACGAACAGATCCGGGCTTGTGGTTCCAACATCCCCACTTGCTCGATGAGGGAGAACGCAGCGTCATCATATTGACGGCCTGATGACACTTCAGGCAACGCAGACACTGACGCAATCCAATCTCGCCGCAATAAAATGGAAAGTGCACCACGACTGCCGGGTATCTGCGGGGACGCCGACGTGGATGCATTTCAACAAGCCCTGCGAACCTTCCGCGAACAGCCAGCGGGCGACACCAGCTCCACAAATGTTCCCTGAAGCGGGCGGGCCCCAGAGGTTGCGGTAGGGGGGGGGGGGGGTCGTGGGAAGCGTGGCCTGGTCCGCATCTCGTCACGGGCTACTAGTTGCGTGATACCCCGGTCCACCACAGAACTCGGGGAGCGCGTCCGGCTCGCCGGACGGCGTGCAGCCCACAACCGAATCGGCTACCTCACGTGTCGTCACGCCCGTATTATTTGTATTCGTATTTGTCACTCGCGTATTTGTCACTCAACGATCCAGACAGCGTATGCAGTACATGTGCTTACGGCCCCTACGTCAGGCGGTGCAACCCAATGACACCAAACCGCTAACGACGAGCAACGGCACTACTCTGAGACTGGGCGTCGGCCAACAAAGGTCATGTTTTGCCGAGCAGCCCGCAGTGTTCTGCAACGCCACTGACAATAAGTTACGCGGCCGATTGTGCCACAGTTGCAAATTTAAACAGCTGTAACCATAGGTGTAAGCAGTAGCGGAGGGGTGGGAACGGGGGAGATGCGTTAGACAAACCCCGCATTTTTGCCAAAATGACCTGCTGTTTTCACATTCGTCGCAAAATAGTCGCGTTTCCAACTTTCCATCCAAAACGCCATTTTTGGGGTCACATACTCCCTTAATCTCCCCCCTCCCTACCACAGCTGAATTACGGCTACATATATGGTAGATACTCGCGCATTTAGAACAGCAAATGGGAATGGCATGATGTACGAGTATTTACAACGCCAACCGCACTCCAAAACAATATCACGGAATGCCTGGCGCAGTATGCCGTACGACCTGCGGAAGGCCGGGCGCAGTCTGTCGTGCGATTTGCGAAAGGCCGGGCGCAGTCTGTCGTGCGACCCGCGGAGGGCCGGGCGCAGTCTGTCGTACGACCTGCGGAAGGCCCTCGCAGGGAGTCGCAGGAAGGCCTCTAATCCCGTATGGCGGGTGAAAGGTCAGCGAGCGCCTGTGCATGGATCACCAGGCCGTCCGTTACGAGCTGCTTGCAACCAACTCGCTACATACATCAGGCCGCCATCGACCGACTTAGGCACAGCACTGTGCCTCCAGATTAGGTGCTGCCATGTGCCACGCAACTTAAGCACAACGTCCACACAACTAAAGCAATCCAGCTTACGCTTAATGCTCGCCACAGATCGATCCCGCTTTTCGCTTTGCGGCTGGGGAGCAGTCTGTACGGGCGCTGGCTGCCGCCCTCTCAGAGCGCAGCCACCCCCTCCTCCACGCGCTGGCCGCGGCTCCCGCACCCCGCCAGACCAAACGCATCTCTACAGCGTGGTGCTGTTCACCGCACCAGCCACTAGAACACGTGCGTCACCCAGAGAAAGACGACGATGGCGCCGCCCAGCATCAGGAACGGCACCCACGTCTTGAGGAAGCCGCACACGCCCGTGTAGCGGCCGTGCACCAGCATGAGAAAGGCCAGCTTGACCATGTTCCAGCTGATGCTGCCGTCGTACGCCATGAGGTTGAGCGCGCGCGCCGTGTGCGAGTGACAGTTGTCGCAGAAGAGGTTGTGCATGCGGTGCGAGTAGAGCTCGGACGCCTCGGCGACGGCGCGGTCCCAGCCGGACACGCCGCCGGCCGCGCGCTGAGGCTCCAGCCGCCAGTATTTGGTCGGCTTGCCGAACGCCATGTTGTCCTCGCCGACGAAATAGGGGCCAGCGAAGTCGCGGATCACGCCCGCCGACGTGGCGATGCCCATGTGGCCGATGATGGGGAAGAGCCAGGTGAGCACAGGGATTGGCGTCCAGACCACTGAGAACGGGTACCGCTGCCGTTCGTGGTCCAGCTCCGTCTTGTCATCCACGTCCAGGCAGTTCATGGCGATGGCGGCGGTGGCGGCGGCGGCTGGCAGCGCTCTACCTACCGGCGAGACAAAAACGACGTTAGGTCTGGCGCGCCGCCGCACAATGGCTGCACCACACCGCCGCCGCCGCCGCCGCCGCCAGCCGACTGGCCGGACCGCCGCTACCCGCTCGCCGCTCACAGCGTGACCTGACCCCTGCCCGGCCGGCTGCTGCCGATCACAGCGTGGTCTGACGACCGTCCAGCGGCCGGCCGGCGGCGCACAAATGTCCGACATGGCCGGAGCCGACAACTGACGGGCTATACGTCACGCCGGCGCCAGCGCGGGGCCGAGTCCCGACCGCGCCGCGGCGGTCGCGGCGCGGCACAGGGCGGCGCGGGCGGGGCCCGGGCCGCTTCGGAGCCAGGTCACGCGCCACTGCCCACACTTGTCGCGATTGGATCGTCCCGGACATCCGCGGCAAGCGTCCGCCGACCGTGGGCGGCGACCTCCGAGCACATTCGGCCGAAACGAGCCGCGGTGCCGGGCGATTACCGGCGGGGCGCGGACTGAGGAGATGAGGTAATGTCGCGTCCGCCCTCCGGCCGTGCCGCTGACCGTGCGTGGCCTTATGCTATGAATCAAAATATTGCGGCTGTTTCCACACTGCCCGGATCAAAGGCGATGGGACGACGTTTGCAGTAATTAGCAAAAGACATCTTTGTGGGCTTTGCAGGTGATGACATGCCTGGCTCTGCGAACAAGTACGCGGCATCATCATGCACGTTAAGGTGTCATTAAGTACTATAGGTCTCCCAGAAACATGGAGCCATTACACCGTGCCTGCTTGACGGCCAGACTACACAGAGGAATAGCAAGGGTCTTTAGGACCTATAAGACACTTCGATGGCGAAGTGGCCAGCCACCGCTCAGGAAAAATGGTAAAAGCAGTGTAGCAGACAAGCACAACGAAATAGGCAACTTCGGACGTCTTTCCCAGTGGATAAACAGCCGAGCAACCCTCTTCTGTCACTTCGATTCTAATCTGCGTTAACATAAGCCCACTTACATATTATTGAGCGTCATTGCTGGGCAGTATACAAAGAACCCATCAAATCAACCTAGGCAGAAAATTAAAGCAATCTTGGCAAACAAATGACGTCTAGCACGCCGGTGCGCGTGCCAGTAGGAGTGAACGCCGCTACCTCGTATGAGATAACGTGAGAAGGACTAGCCCCTGGCTGGTAGATGATCAAAGCACCGTCCCTCCTTTACACTGAATCGTTTGATCAGTGTAATCTCCGAGGCCCTAAGTATCGCCTTCGCTCCGTTAATTGTGCTGGCGGCCTTAATGCAAGGTGCTGAAAGTTGCGCGTAGCTAATATGTGTCATATCTCACCAAATTTTCCTGACAAAATTTTAACGAGCAAAATCAGACCGACTCCTTGGAGCAGAACAAGCTACAGACCTCGCTTTGCTGCTTTAGTGGAAACTCATTTCGCAAGGGCTTCCTGGTTATTGTACCACGCTGGCAAGAGGTATTACGAACATTGAAACAAACAAAACTACAACAAACGTGTACAAAGCTGTATCACACTTTCTCGACTTATTTGACATATTTCCCATCAAAAGACTTCCCTTCTTCTCCCGTAACAATGCTGTACTTTCGGCATTCACGCGCGCTGCATGAGCGGTGAGTGCGGATGGCATTAATAGTAATCCAGCTACGACAAAGTTTTAGTCCATAGCGTTACAGCTCAAGCAAAGTGCGAGTGTTTCACTTGATTGGAAGTTGTTCAAGTTGAAAAGCTGCCTTTGGAATTGAAACGTTCTGCTCGTTCCACTTACTCTAGTAGCACTAGAATAACTTTCTGGTAGGAACAACCCATTTACATCAAATTAATTAATTAACCAAAGCAGCGTTTTTGACACATACTTAACAGCATCATATAACTATCAAGAATGACGGATAAAGCCGCTCCGTTTGGGGGCAGTAACGTTCGTCCCATACGGCAATAGCTCTTCGCTTCGGCTAAAAGGGGAACACTACTTAAATCCCCGAATGTTACAATAGTTGTTGTACAGGCTGCTAGAGAGCCAGGGTCGCCCGTCTACTTGGCGGTTGTGGTATGCCACTACGGCACGTGAAACAAGCAACTTGTAGTCGAACTACAACGAGCGCCATCGCCATACAAACGTAACGTGACCAGTAAGTAGAAGTAGAGGCGGATGTGACGGCATCGGTCGAGCGAGATGTATACAGGCAGGACGCCGCACATGTACCCACCTATAGTTCGACTATGTTGTGGTCTTGTGTCCAGCCGGACTTGGTGGAACTTGGGAGTCGGACAATCACCTGTTGGACAGAGACTGGAATAAATCGATCAATTGCACCACTGAGTTGGACTAGGTCGTGGACCCACCAGTTTCTTAAAAAGTGGATACAGACTTAGGTCCAGACTAGAACACGGCTGCATGGCAATCTAACGCGGACCCAGATTCTGAACTTGAGATTCGGATTCAAACTGAACACTAAACTCACCAAGGTTCAAACGAAATGAAAACTAAACTCGGGCTAAGTTACAGCAACTTAATAAAAAAATCAGCCCTTTCAACGCCATCGGCACTGCCTCATGAAGTACGAAAACCCGTGAAACCCACGATGAAACCAGACTTGAATAAATCCGATTCTCTACCAGCTACTTGGCACATTTTTATCAGAACAAGCATGCTTTGAAAGACTAATGCTTGCTCCACAGACGTCGGGTATCGCACTAGGATGGAACGGACAGCCAATTTGATTTGGTCCCGTTGAATCAGTTTGAGCAGTTAAGTGAAACTCAGCATCGGTCTATCGCCGGGGTTGGAGACATGTGTCCAGTCATTTTCCTGAAATGGGGCCTTGTTCCCCTTCCCACATTCATGGAAGGCGACCGTTTTTGGCACATTCCCTGTCACACCGATACCCGTCGCAATGTCCACCCTGCGACATATCAGAAAAGGTTAGATGGCGCCAATGGCAGCACGGTCCGACCTGACCTGCCGGCGCAGCGCTGTCCACGAACATGGGCGTTACGATCCCGCCGTCCGGCAGGCAGGCGTCCCAATGCAGACAGTACCCGCAGTAACCCGTGACCAAAAACTTAGCTTATTCTTACAAATCACACGAGTTCCGAGTTTAAAAGCCAGTAATTCGGAACATGCTTTAACATGCTGATGTAAATAATGACATCACACGGGCGCGAAAGAAGCCCCGATTGGTCGGTGGACGCCACGCACTGCACGGTGCACGCAGCCCGCGGCCGATTGTCCCGTACACGGGTGTGCGGCACAATCGGCTCACCGTCTGCCCACAGACGGATATGCGGGACGCATGGTAAGAGTAAGGAGGTAATATGTGCCTGCGAGCGTACCCAAGCCAAATGTACGGGCGAAAGACAATAAATTTGAGTTTTGGACGCTCAGTCACCCTTGTCAGCTGGCCCCCTAAAAATGCCCGAGGCATTAACTCCTTCGCCGTTGCTGAATTTATCATTTCCGAATTTCCGTTCTAACTCCGGGACAGCTGAATTCGGGGGATAAGACAACCCCAACTGATACTTTCAGCGAAAAACCAAATCACGGGGTGTTATTTTGATCCCTTCACCTGTCGACTTGCCGCAGAATGGCACTCCTATGCTTTCCTTCTGCAGTCGCATTTGACCCACGCACCGAACTCTTAGATATGCGAATATGGGAAGATCGATTTCATCACCTCAGAAGAAGCCTAACTACCGCGCCTGTTACCATAAACGAAACGAAAATTGCTGCTCCTACAGAGTTGCTGAAAGCAGCGTTTATGTGGCTATCATGTAGAGCGTATCACACCTTTTTCGGACGATGTGATGACTAATCCCCAAGTTACACACAATACGCGAGCTTGAGCCTCCGTCTCCACAACACGCATTTTCCAAGACGTGCTCCCCCTCCCCCGCTCCTGTAGGACCCATTTTTCACCCAAACGTCAGGGCATGTGCGTGATATGAATATCGCCCGCGTTCTTTCGCGGATTGTTTTGCGTTTCGCCAATCCACAAAGCGCAGTGTAACCAGGGGCCAAAAATAGCCCAGCAGGGTATTTGAGCTCAGCGCGACAACACCAGAACATTTCCCCACGTAACTTGCCGCGATGATGCTGCACACGGAGGGAGCCCGGGAACTATTTATAAGATGCAACCATCCCCAGGCATCCGCATCCCCAGCCTGGTGTGTGCGCCCCAGTTAATTATCTCCGCGCAGAAAATCGTTGCTGTTCCATCGCTCTCGCCCGACCATCAACACCAAATGGTCAGAACTAAATCTGGAGGGGGGGGGGGGGGGAGACATAAATCAGTCAGGCGCAATGGCATCCAAGGTCACTGGATAGCGTCCAACTGGAAAGCATCGAATGACCTTGGAATGAGACGATGCCAATGTGGCATATGATGGCATTCCTTGCAATGAGCCGGCTTTTATCTCAGGACATGAAAGGCTACGCACTGATGGAGCAACAGGTCGATTCGACGTCGTTTGGCTCGGCCCCCACCGAAGTGAGCTGGCGGTACTACCACTGAGCGGCACACCTTTCCCATCTGGATCAGCTCACAAGCCCGCGTGCTTCGCACGGGATTTTCGGGGACATGCGGATTGAATATGTTTCACCGATTTCCAAATACTTGGCACCAAAATAAAGATTGTTTTGTTGATGTGACTGGGGAGTTGCCATGCTGAAAACAATGGACGTGCCATATGCCAGGAGCAAATAGTTATACAACGTTATCCGCAAAAATTGCAAAACAAAATTAGTGCATTGAAACAACACGTTCAAAGCTGTCCCAATGAGAATAGTGGCGAATAACAGCCATGATAACGTCGTTGACTAGGCACCTCCTAATATATTCGAGGCCGGTTACATGTAGCGATCATGCTGAATTGTAAACCTAATGGTGGGCGCAATATGACCTATGCAGTCGGCGCGCCCAAAAACCCTAAATAACAACAAACCTAATGGTACTATGAGCTGAGAGCCCCTGGGAGAATTCTTAACTCACAACATCATTAAATCTCTTCACCTTTCATTCTTATTAAAATGGGAGGCATGTCTTGCTTACAAATCAATTTTTCATATAATGCTAAGTCTTTTTGCGAAGGTGGATACTATTCGGTGTCGGTGGCACAGACGGAAGCTCGACGCGTCAATAATTGGGAGATCGTGCGCACGGGCCTGGTCGGGCCCACATTTCTGCCAGCTACCTGCAATATTCTACAATTATTAAAAACTATTGATCCATCGTTCGTTTGCCTCCGGCAGATACATGCTGTCCGTGCGTGCAGGGTTATATAATGCCGTGACCATTTTCATGCCAGTACAGGGTTATAAACCTGGACATACCACGCACTTAGCTCGAAAAAGGTACTTCATTCCGGTCCGTCTGGCCTGACAGACCATTTCTGGGGACAACACGGTTATAAAATAGGTGCGTAAACGCTTCAAAGACATACCAATATGCATCACTTCCCACACCAGCCCATCTACATCTCAATTACGACTCAACGATGCCAGACGCCAACTTAGCCAGTCATTCGAACACCTCATACGATGTGTGGGATAAGATGGTGGAGATTTGTGCGACCAAGCATCTGGGACAATTTCCAACAAGCCGGCCAAAGGCCTGCTGTGACCCATGTTTTTCTTACTGTTCAGAATGATGGCTACGGGTAGAGCAGCCCCGGGCACACGTGCTCAGCAAGCTTGCAGTTCGCACCCTCAACAGACCGTCCAGATAGGTAAAATGACGCCCGCATTTCGGAATATCCATGCAATTGATTTTTTAAAAATCCCCTTCAATTGTATGAAGAGACTTTACGATC